TATATATATATATATATATATATATATAAAAAACATTACATTTTGATTTCATTCTCCCCCTCTTTTTTCTCAATTAATTCTTTTAATTTTTTTTATGATAGCTTTGAATCCCATAAAGAAAGATGAATTATCACACACAGAGCCCAAGCTGTGAAACAGGAGGAGACAAATAGAGACCCCTACTGTGTTTAACAATGTAGAAGAAATTTCAAGTGCAATAGCAAAATTTCTATCCTTTTCCTACAGGCCTCATAAACTGACAATATAAATCTGAACAGTGGAGGGCACTCTTGCTATGCAAAAATTGCATTGCCCTGATACATTTCTTTCAATCTATTTAGTGGCCTAAATTTCACAATTTAAGTTAACAGCCACCTGTGGCATAGTCATCATGTGCCTTCTGCAGAAAGCATATGCAATATTTAACCAACTGCTAAGGCTTTGTGAATTCAGATTAAGAACAGATCAAGAACTCTACATTTTTGTCTACTGATAAAATATTATCAGCTTATCATATATTAAAATGTAATTAATGTATCTGTTTGATTGAAATCTCAAATATTCAGTTTGTACCCCAAAGTTCCATGTAAACTAGCTGATGTTCAATATTTAGACTACAGTGATATAATATTTTATTGGGAATTAATGCAGTATTAAACGTTGACTATTTCATTAATTTAAGGTGAAATAGGAATCCAGGCCTAACAGGAATCTAAATAATATAAGAGACTGATTCATTTTTGTATAATCTTCTATTTTCAAAGACATAAACCAATAGGCGGAACACTAGAAGATATATCCAGGTTTGATACTATGAAATTTTCTATAGAGCACTGATTCACTGAAAGCAGGAGAGCTGTTTGCATATCTTTGTGCTAAATGATCAAGATTGAAAATCTAGCTAAGGAGCATTATAAAATTTCTCATAATATTCGCATAAATAAATTTATACAACTAATAAAGCATATGTAATGAAATAGTGATGCACCTAAATAATGAAGATAACCTTAGAGAAAGACCAATCACTGTTATTTTCCTAACCAAAGTAAATGACACTATAGAAGATTAATTAAGCAATGAAATACTGTGTGAAACCACAACTCTTTTCTTAGTACTGCCAGCTTGGGAATTGAACTACACAGGTATTTGATAAGCTGTACAAAATCATATATAAAAATTCATAAGCATCTCTAGTTGACACTCAGATTTGATGTTAACACTTAAGACAACAAGTGGTAAGCCATGCTGCCAAGGTCAACTACACAGATGTACTAATTGTATTATGAGCTTGACAACTAGTGGCCACCCCTGGCAGGGCAAAACAAGCAAAGGTTAAATCAGCAAACCTTGTCAAAGCACTTCTAACTATCCACCCTCAGGGAAAGTTCTTTGGGAGCTTGTTGGCACTCCAGCAATCCTACCTTTTCACTGAAAACAAACAAAAAACTCTCTCCTCCACTCAACATTTAGACACAGGAAATAGAAACAATTTGGTTTCAAACACTAAAAATAACATGCATATATTACTTTTTAAAATATAAAGGCATTCTGTTGTCATAAAAATGGGCTTTAAGCTTCTATTGATGTTCTTATTTTCTCGAATAATAATGAAAACTTTATACAGGACTGCCTTCTCCATGGTAGTTGCTGTTTTCTGCATGCAATTAACAATAGAAATGTTCTCAAAAGTATTTACATTTCATAAGTTAAATAATGCATGATTTTTCATGAATTTGATAACAATCCTGACTTTACTCTGAATAAAGATCAATAGATTTCAAAGGCATTGTTCTCAAATTGTTATAAGAATGTATTACTTTTTCATTTTTCACGTATAAATACATCCATTTAAAACCATTTTCTATAATAATGTGGTAAAATGAAATGAATACTTTTTATCTGCAGAGAAACTTAACCCCATAATATAAATTGCAATATTGTGAATATAACTTTAGATCTACACTAATGCTATTTATTGTGAAAAAAGTTACTTTTTATTTGCCCTAGATATTTTGATTGTATTTCTAAAGCTTAAAGCCATTTTGAATGCAAAAATGTATCATTTCAGTTTGTTTAATTTTTTGATTTCTTTAAACTATGTAACAAGCTATTTATTTATATCATTCACAGTAATCTATTTCAATATTCTCTAGATAGTTCTGTTGGATTGGCACTCAGTCAATAAGTCATGCAAAAAAATTGAAAGCTTTTGCTTTCTCAGTGTTTCACCCACAGTAACAAATTTATTTGCATTGCTTTTATTTTAAAGTTATATTTCAATAAAGTATTAAAATAGTTTTAGAAATAAGTAGCCAATATTTATGTTTAAGAACATGAATGTTCAGCTGATATTAATCATTATACAGATAATTAATGTTTGGAATGTTTTTATTTATAGGAGCACATATATACTTCTCCTCCCAGCAGAAATGACACATCTTATGTTTGCATTTGCATACTAAAATAAGCAAATTTTAATTAACATGTTATTAAACTATCCTTTAGTTTGAATAGTATATAAAATATAATGTGAAAATTTACTATACAGCAATAATATAGGGTAATTTTCCTCCCTCACACTAATAATAAATCTAATATCTTAAAGAACTGTTTTAAAATTGGAAAATACAATGGTCTTTTATTATTTTAAAAGGCAATTTGCTAAAAATCACAAAAATTAATGCTTAATTAAATGTTTCATATCATCTCCAATGTTCTTAAGGCTATTATAGGTTAAGTATAATAGAAAGCATCACATTCTATTTATGAGTTTTATGAACATTAATCCTACTATTTTATATCTACTGGAATAAGCCTACTAATTTAAATGAACTTACTTCAGAGTAAACAGGAACGTTTTTTTTAAAGAATACATTCAAAGGAATAAATCAACAAAATAAATGAATGATGAGCTGGAATAAAAAAATGTTGCAACTGGATTTTGGAAAGATGTATACTTTAAATATAAGAATTTTGATGAACAGGTTTTTAAAATAAATTTAGTATGCCACAAAAATCCTTAATACAATATAAATGCATTTTACAATTATTTGAAAACCACCTATCATTATTCTAAGAGCTGACCCACTTTAAACTGAAACCAAACAAAAAACCATGTTACTTTAATCTGTACAAATTGCATTCTAGAAATCCCTTTTAGCAATTTTAATAGCTAATTTCTATTCAATTATTATCCACTTGAAAGTGCTATGTGGTACCCCTCCCCCCAGAAATTGGTGAATGCATCTGGTTCCTAAGTGAATGCAGTGTTTCCAATTGTTGTAACAAAACAAGGCTGTTCTATAGCACTAGTAATCTGTTGATTTAGAGAAATGTTAAAATGTTTAATTCTTCTGATACTCGAGATTAACTCATTTAGCATATAGAATAGCAAATTAACTATCTTGGGATTTATAACAATTCCTTCAGATATTTTGCCACTCTTTATAGTGACCATTTCTTTCAATATGGCATCCTTTTAAATGTTTTGTGCATAAATACCTTTTGTTCCTGACTTGTCAGCATCAACTACTATGCAGATTCTAATTAATCACCGCATGTAAGCATTCATTTTCCAAATTACCAAAAGCATGAGCTCTCTCTCCAACAAGAAACATTTCAACGTAATAGCTGTTATTCTGGCTAGTTTTGGGATCTCTGGGAATGTTCTGCTTTATGAAAAAAAAGTCCCATTACTCTATTGGTCCAAATTATTAATGTGCTTCTAAAACATCTATTTTTAAGACTGCTACCTAAATTTACTGGCTTTCCTATAATTTTAGATATAGCCTTATATTTATCTTTCAGTCTGTCAAACTGTCAGGTTTCTTTCTGCTACTGTGTAAAAGAAAAAAGATATACCTACTTTTAACAGCTTTTCTTAATGAATTATATGTCTAAAATGCAGCACTGTGTGTATTCCCATGTATAATAAAATGTGTAAGTTTATTAGATACCACAATAGCTTGAGGAATTCTTTTAGAGTCAGGAATTAAAATACTGAAGAGAACTAACGTTAGTATAGTGGGTATCTTTGAAAAATATTATCTGCACTTTTTTGTCTGTTTTTTGTGCTTAAAGTGTTGTTTTTGGCCTGTTGCTGAACTAAGAATCAGGAACAGTGGCATTGCTTACAATTGTAAAGTGAAATTAAAAGGCCTGATGTATCTGAATTACAACATCATCTTATTCTAGAATATACACAACTAGTTAAATCTTTTTTGCAGGAAAAATATTTGCACTGATAAAAATGTTGAACACTTAACCAATTTAGCTACTGATGTGATTTTGGTAAATCAGAGCTCTGAAATTGCAGAACTCTGCACGTAACTAATTATCAAGATATATTATGTTCTATATTCTGACATGCATTTATTAACCAAGAGAATAACACATTTTGATTACAATTCTCTAAAATAGTGAAGTATTTACATTGTTGCATTTTTAAGGCTGCTGGTAAAGCCGATTTCGAGCTATTCAGTGGCCACAATAATAACGCTTTAAAATTCCTCACTGGGATGCAATGTAGTCCTTTTGATGGGAAGACTGTCTTTCTTATTCGCCAGAAATAAATCCATTCATTTGATCATGTAGTCATTGAGGGCGATACAAAACAAACCAAGTGTGAGAAATTCTATGTGATGAAGTAAACAAAACAAAACCCCCCAAAAAGGGGGGAAAAGAGAGAGAAAATCCATTTCCATGACAAAAAGATTCTTTGTTCTTAATCTACACACCATATGCAAGCGTTTCTTTTTAGCATATCTCCTGTTCTAATCTTGGGTGACATGGCTACATAGATAAGACTCACTAAGCAAAACAAAAAAACCCCTGCTAGTTGAACAATTTTCTTCAATTTATTAACTCACCAGAAGTGCCATAATGAGGCACTGAGGTTTTTCCTTTTTAACTTTTAAAGTATTCAGAGTATTGTTTACATTCTTAAACCAAGTAATCTATCAATCTACCCTGATAGATTTTTTTTCTATCATTTTTATTTTACTAAAGATAAATATCCTGTTTTTACTGAAGTATCCGGAAGGCTTTAAAAAGAAACATTTTAAAATAAGGAATATCTTGTTTTAATTGCAACTATCCTTCAAGAGACTTGTTTCACTTCCTTTTATTATTACCATTATCCAAGAAGCTGTTCAAATCAGAAGTGGTCAGACTTTCCCTTCTTTCCAAGAACTTTCTTTTTTTAAAAAAAAAAAAAAAAGATGGAGGAAATTACAAGTTCTGAATAATTGCCAGTGTAGCAAATGCATTTACCTTGGGAAGTCAGTTCATGCTGCACTAAACTGCAAGGTTGCAGTGACGATTTAAAGTAACCAAAAATCTTTTTGTGGCTTAGTTCTCGACCTTCCCAAGCCCCTCTTGTCCAATGAAGTGTGTGGGTATTTTTTTTTCCTGAAGCATTTAATTGTGTAATTTTCCTTGGAGATTCTTTTTAAAAATGAAAGCAATCAAGCTAAAATGTGCCGTTTAGGAGCAACAGAATCATTCTCCCAATGATTGCCTCTTTATCACCATCCTGATCAGCATGGAAATTTTAAGTGATAACCACAGGAAGAATGAAATACTTCATTCTGCCTTCATAATTGAAAAAAAAATGCAATCTGAGGTACAGGGGAAAACAGCAACCCGGAATGGTAAACTTCAATATCATATGCAGATTTTGGAGTTTAGAATTATTCCAAATTGACTTCTAAAGACAGCTCAAAGACCCTTTAACCAACTGCCGCTAAATCATTTCCAAACCAGACACAACTTGTTTTATAAGCACCCTGAGCATGCCTGGAGGCTCTCTTGGCCTCAAGGGGCCCAAATAAATTCTTTTTTTAAAAAAAAAACTTTTCAATAAGCGCGGAACGAATATTCTCATTTTATAATCCACCTCAAATCCTAAGAAAACCTAAGAACATCTTCATGGTAATTGTGGTGGCAAATGAAAGCAGGCGTGAGGCAAGTTAAGCTCTGCCCCAGGGCAGACAATTTATCCACCCCAGGCCCTGACAATTATTCCCAGGCGTCACCCCCTATTCCCTCCCTAACATTTAGAAGAGACCTCTTTTTTTTTGCCTTTGAACATCTGACCCACCTCCACTTATTTATGGGACACTCCCTGGCCTTTGGGAGCAGGCCCCACCACCACCCACCCACCCCAGGCCTACGTCCCAAAATTCGGCGGGCCAAAGAAGAAACCTTGCTTCAGAGAACTAATCCTAAACAATCTGCTGAGAGTGTGTGTGAGTGGGAGAGAGGGGGGGGAGGCACTGAGGAACACCCCCCCCAAGAGCCCTTCCCCCTCGGTTACTTTAGGAATTACACTTAAAACGCTAATCCGGAATCGAGCCGGCCTAGGAGCCGAACCCGCCGCCGGCGGTTTACTTCAGAGTAAAAGCCGAAGCGAACCGCGAAAGAGATATTTTTTTATTTATTTCTCTCTCTCTCCCTCAGACGCGCGGGAGGCCAAAGGCGGGAGCGCCTCGCTGGGGTTTATCCAGGGCCAGGGAAGCCGCCTCAGCCTCCAGCAGGGCCGCTTCCGGGGTGGTTTTGGGTTGTTGTTTTTGAGGTGGGGGGGGGGGAGGAAGGGGGTCGGACCACCCCCCGTAAAGACCCAGAAACGATTTTTCGCCGCTTGGTTTTCTTTCCCCTTCACCGACCCCCTCCCCCCCCCATCCTCAACTCTCTTGGCAACTTTTCTGCCGTTGAAGGGGAGGGGAAAAAAAGAAAAGAAGGCAAGCTGCTTGGGGAACGGGGACGACGAACGGCTGAGAGGAAGAATAAAAAAAGAAAGGAAACGGCCGTTACGGTCGAAAAGTCGAAACACTAGGAAAGAAACGCAGATGATAAAAAAAAAGAAAGAAATGGAAAAGCGGCAAATCCACGCTAAGAGCGGCTGGGAGAAACAGCGGCGCGTGCGTTCGGGGCGGGGGGGGGGAGAGAGCGCGAATTTGTAAGCGCGCCCTTCACTCCCCACCCTCCAACTCCCGAGAGCGGGGACGCTCTAACTCTTCTCTCCCTCTCCCCCCCCCAACACACACTTCAGATGTCCAGCCATAATTCAAGCCTTCCGCTGCACGCCGAGTTTGCCAGCCAGGGACTTCGGTGTGGAAGAGAACACTTGCTCCGAAAGGGAAGGGAGGAAGGGGGAGGCGAGAAACTTCTGCTCGCTTTAAACTTTAAACTCCCACCCGAGTTTCTCCTACCTCTTTTTCCCCGAGGTGGCCTTCTCTGGGGCTGGCTCAAGCTCCCCTCCAAAGAGAGTAAAATCCACCAGATAAAGATCCCCGGGCTTAGAAAACACCCACCGCGCGCGCACGCACATAAACAGACACTCGCTCACTCAAGACACACAGGCGCACGTAGGCACCCGACTCCGGTCGCCCAATCCCGCTTGCTTTTGCCTTTGCCTGCTCTGCCTGACTTACCTTGTTCGGGAAGCACCTCCGCTTGTAGCTCCTCGTCGGATTTGAGATGTTGGGGCTTAGCTTGCTTTCGTCGAGACATAACTGCTAGCTGGGGTGGCTTCTTGTGCCTGCTTTTTGCAGAGACATCGGCGAGAGGTGGAGCGCTGCGGGGAGAGGGGGTGGATGGGGTGGGTAAGGTAGGTGGGTGGGAGGAAAAAAAAAGACTTGGTGGCGAGGAAAAAAAGTGTATTGGTGGCGTCGGACCGCCGCCACCGCACCCCCCCTCCTTATTTCACCGGCAACAAATTAGCGCGGGGCGGGGGGGGGTGTTGGATGGTTGGGCGGATGGGGGGTGGCTTGTGGTGCGTGTAAAGAGAAAGCGGAATAAATAAAATCCGCCAGCGAGCCAAGCGGCGACGGCGGATCAGCCGGGCGGGGTGTTGCGCGGGGTTGTGGTGCTAAGCGCGCTTGCAAAGATAGGGCGGCTGCGCGGCTCGCGCATGGGGCTCAGTAATTATGATTGTGAATAATGCATGGCGATTAATGATGCTGGGGGCAAGCGCGGATTGGCCCGGCTCCAGTGGACTCGGGCTGCATATGTAAATGCGGGAGGGCGCTCGGCAATTAGACGCTTCGCTCGGCCAAATGCTGCGTCTGCCCGGCACCGGCAGCGCCTCCTGCGAGAGGCACCGACTGCGACGGCGACAGTAACCGAGGGGACACAGGCGGCAGCAAAACACACGCACGCAGTCCGGGGGGACCACTCTCTGCGGGTGCAATTGACTTTACACAACATAGGTGCACAAGCTTCACTGCTGGGAGAAGGGCAGGATCTCAGCGGTTTGCTTTTTTGGGTAGCTCTGCTCCCCTTGTTTTCCTCGCTGTTGTTTCTCTCTCTCTCTCTCTCTTTTGAAATTACATCACTCTTTGTCTTTTTTCCAGGTTCCTCTTTACCCAGAAGTTATTCTTCATCGCGCTTAAGTTTCTCTGCGGCGCCTCTAAATGTCCTTGATGGGAGACTTTTTTAAAAAAAGAAAAGCAAGCAATATATTGTCGCTCCTTATCTCTTTTGCTTTCGCTGCCTAAATCTTCGCGTCCTAGTCTCCCGTAGTTTATTCCTTCAAGCCTGGCCCGGAAGCGGCTTCTGTTTCTCTTGTGGGGGAGGAAGAGGAGGGGGAAAAAAGTAAACAGCCAAACTCGGAGACTTTGAGCACTTCTCTGCCTTTCGCTTCTTGCGTTCGACCTCCCTTCTTTGTGCTTTAGCAGCCTCTCTCGTCCAGAGCCGCCTGGTTCTCGCCGCTGTAGCTGCAGCTGGTCACTTCCTGTTGTCCGGTGGTCGGAAGTTTTTTCTCTCTCCCTCCGGTCCGCCTCTCTCGCCCCGAGACAGGTGGCGAGGTTTCTCCGCGACCCCCCTCCCCTTTAGGTGCCACTCCTCCAGGCTTCTTCTTGTCCTGCTCGTGTTGAGTTGCTGCGCCTCCCGTGCCAAGGACCTCGCTTTTGTTTGGAAAGAGACAATCCCGCTTTCCCCGGCAAAAAATCTGAAGCCGGCACCGACGGCGACCCCCAGCGAGCCTTTGAGGAGTGGGTGTGTGTGTTGGTGGGCGAAGGTGTTGATTGTTGTGCTGCTGGGCGGAGGAGGGTATCCCCCTCGCCTCCGCCGCCGCGCCTTCCTCCTCTGGCCCCCTCCGCTTTCCTTCTCCTCCTCGCCGCTCCCGCAGCCTCGATTGGGTGCGAGGCCGGCTTGGCACACGGGCGCTCGCCAATCGATGCCTCCCCGCGCGCTGGGAAAGGAGGAATGCGCACAGCCGGGGCGTCGCTGATTTCGGCAAGAGAAACTTTCAAGTTTTGAGAGCGGCGTGGCTGGAGCGGCGGCTCCTCCTCCTCCGTCTCCACCCTTCGCTGGTGCCGCTGTCGCCCAGCCGCCACTGAGAGCGCCCCTCCAGAAACCCTCGCCCACCCGTGGCTTTTGAGGCCAGCCGCTACACTCGCTCTCTTTGAAGAGGGAGGGATTCCCTGCCCTAACTTCCGATCCTTCCCAGGCCTGGATCTCTTTCCCTCCCCCCGTCCCCGCTCTGTTTTGTGGTGGCTGGCCGGGGCAAAGAAAGAATGGAAGCTGGCTTAGTTAGAATCGCTTCTGGTAGCCAGATCTCTCCCCAAAGGGGAAATGCGATCTGGAACCACAAGTTTTCCCCCTC